GAGGATAGGGGTGCCGACATATAAGTCCACATAGAGAGATGTGGGAGTATAAAAATATGTTTGATGAATTGAAAAGATATCTCAGTGATGTGTCTAATCTCTTACTGACATTCATCAAAATCTTTTATTTCTGGTCAATCATCAACAAATCAAAAACTGTTTTACAAAGCAGTGTCACCCTAAATTCCATCAAAATATTATGAAATATTTGCACCCTACATCATGCGGATTTCTACTAAGTAGATCATGAACTTACCTTATATGTTCACCACTGTACGGTTCAGCTACTTCTGCTGATTGTTTTGGTCTTGGTTTAAATGATTTACCAGAATTATCTCTTGATAGTGACGGCACCAATTTATGAAAAATTTGCCCCCCTATAAAAATAGTTTTCATCCCCAATTGTACTCCCATTTTATTCTTAATAATATTATTGCTATTATACCTTTTTATTCCCTGAAAATATGTCAGAATGCACCAATTCAATTTTTCAAATGTTCTTAAGACTCTAGGAAAGGCTTCTGATTATGACATCATGACAGAGTTGTCGTATTTTGAATTCAGCCTCAACAGTAGTTCCCCATTGAATCAGTCTGTCCCCTGTTTCTACCCCCAGTCTCAGTCTCTGATATTGGTCATGTCAAGGAAACAGTTACATCAAATCTCGACTTTTCTTCATCAAAACAATTTGTAGATATACCGCTTTAAAGGGATTGTGAAGAGGTTTTGTTACCTTTGTATGGAGACACTGATGGCATCAATATGCACCATTCCATTGCAATTCTACTAAAAAATAAGTGTTCTAAGACGTCACCGTCACAAAGGGCTTTATATGATATTATGCGAGAACCACAGAAGCCTGACTTAAATTTGAATGGTGCAAATCAATGCTTACAGTGTACCCAATACACATAAAAAGTTTTGAAAACCTTTACAATCCCTTTAAAGATAACATAAACCATCTGCTACAACAGAGAAAATTGATTTAAATGAAGTTCCCTCTTTCTTTCACCTGATGGGGCTGATGCAATCACACAAATTTTGTCAGAACAAAAAAAAAAGCCTCCTCTGTTTCAAATCTTATGTGTCGACCCTCGATTGTTTTATCCATGTTAACCCCCTTCTTTAGTAGAACACAGAATTCCAAAGGTCTATGTCAACAAATGCTCAGTTGCCATAAACAGTGAGCAAGGTAATAAAAAAACTCACCGTGGCAATATCATGATAGTCTGATGTAATAAAACAAGTTTTGAATATCAATTTCAGAAGTATGAAAGGCAACACTTACTTTTTATATCACTTCCTATCATTGGTGGATGGGGGCCAGGTCTTGGGTGAAAGCCAGGTCTTTGGCGACCATATAAATCTAGAAACTACAAGACAATGAGAAATATACACTGTCAATATACAACTTTATAAAGTTTTTAGGAAAATTACTCTATCTATGAGATCAGGTTTACTTGAAAGTCACAGTATCTATAATACATAAGCGATTGCTAAATAACTGGATGATATCAATTCTGACTGTTAATTTTGCAATTTGTCAGTCGTCGGTGTGCTCATATTCTCCCAAATGCAAGCAGTTATTAACAGTTGTTGAAAATCCAGTTTTTGAGATGTTAATTGTGAGGTTTATCTGGGAGCTCTTAAAAATCAAAGAATAAAAAATCAACTCACCTTTTTTCTTCTTTTCTTACATTCCACAGAATTCACTAAAAGACTTAGTATTAATATGGTTACAAATATATTCATGGTTATATTTCTAACATCAATCAGAAGAAACTAATTTTTCGAATGTGAATCAAGGTTAATACTGTTTTTAATAGGAAAAAGGAGTAGGTTTTTCCGTTACATGACCTTTGTAAAATGACAAGTTGTGTATGTTATTTGATGAGTTCATATCAATGCCTAATTACTCCTAATCAGTTGCTTATCAATTATGTCAATTAAACATTGATTAGTCAAACTTAAACTATCTTGCAAGAAATTAACATTTTGATTTGTGCAGTTTGGTTATAGGTGTTATAGAAGATACTCTCCTATAGAAGCACTGGCCTCGATCACAAATAGAGACTATGTATTTCAACATGAAAACTATTTCAATTCAAACAGAATATGTTTTACTGAAGATTATTCATAGATTATTACTTCTGGAGAAATTACAAGAAAAAATATATTGAACTCAAATTTGGTGTATAAGCTAAAATAGCTTTAGAGCTCTAGTTTCTAAACTCAATTTAATTTTCAATATTTCAATTTCATTTTCAAAGTGTATTTTCTAAATGAAGGTGTATCATATGATTCAGCGTTTTGCTCTAACCTCCACAACCAAAATAAAGTTACAGAAACATTTCTGTGCAAATCAATAGTTTGAAGTTTTATGACATAGTTTTAAACAGAAAGGAAAGACATGTTCCACTTTTTTAAATTGTCAATGTCGATTGGTTTTAATTTTTCGGGCACTCCCTTATTTAGCTAAGTTTGCTTCACCTTTTTTGAAAATAATCAAAACTTCATCTCCAAACTTAGAAAATATAGAGATGACCATTGTAATATGCCCACCATTGTAATGGCAGCCAAGTCATCCAGGTTGTTGACAAGTGCTATCAATAAATTAAATATATTGAGAGTAACATTTTCATACAGCAAGAGCTTTATTAACAGCCTTTTTCTCTTGCTTGATTTTTGATTGAGTTCATCCTTAGTTGATATTGAACAATTCCACCAAGTTTTCGTCTAAATCAGTCAAGAATTTTGTATTCTGAAGCATTAACAAGCTAAAGATTGAATAATATTTAACATGTTTTTTTAAGAACAAGGGCCATAACCCATATTAAATATTTTTCCATTTTTTGCTACCAATTTGTTTTAAAATATGTAGAGAATTGTTCCTTGAGCGATATTTCAAGAACAAGGACAATAACTCATATCAAATACTTTTAAGTTTTTTTTGACCATCTATAGGATACATCATTGCTAGACCTTTCAAAAGCTAACAATACTCATTTTCAAAAACAAGGACAATAACTCATATCAAATATTTTAGTTTTGTATGATTTTCTATAGGGTTCGTCCTTAGGTGATAATAAACATTAACACCAAATTTTATCAAAACCCATCAAGAAACCAGCTTTCTATCGTGTTCACATATTTGATACTCAGGAGAAGAGTAGAGGAGACAATGCTTACCCTTATTTCAACCTATTTCAATATCTTGTCACATTGTTAAAAAGAAACAAAAGCGTATTCTGGTTTTGATTAGATTGTAGCCTAACATCTGATACTTCTTGATTTGTTAATTCAACATCCCATAAGGAAAGTTTCATCCATTTTGTTACATATATTCCTATTGAGTTAATCACAAATCAAAAAAGTTCTCACAATTCTAAGAAAAAATTTCACAGATAAAGACATGTATGAACAGACTGTGCCACACGGACAATATACAGCAATAAATCCTACCCAAATATAAATATGTCCTGAATAAATCTTACAAGCAAAGACATAGAGATAGAAAGGATGAACTTTATTGTTTGTTTATTAATATACTTATCTCATATAATACCATTTGTATAATATACACATATCTTGGCATCTGATTAAAGTTTGTCTTGCATCAATTGGTGTGAAATAAACCTGAAGACATCAACATTAACCATAAGATTAATCTGAACCAAAGTTATTATTAATATTTGTAATGGTTTTAAAAAATGCTGAAAAGGGTTGTAAAGTCAGATATAATCAAATGAAGTCCAATCAGCCAATATTTGAGTAGTGTAAATTCAGATATAAACCTTCAAAATTCAGACAAATCAGTTAAAATTAAGAGTTAACCTATAAAAGCATTCCATTCCAACTTCCACCTTTTTTTCACTTCTGACTTCCCAGTTTTTATTGCTTCCGAGTTCTGACTATAATTTTTTATCTTCAATGGGTGACACATGAAATGAAATATTGATGCTCTTGCAAATAAACTATGTCTCTTCCCATCCTCAATTGTCAAATCATTTCATGCTCTTATTGCCTGTTCACAAATCCCTGTGACTTGTGCATCAGGCTTCAGCATTGCTTCGTTGATAAATATATTATATGTATGTTCTTGTAATTTTTACTGGAAACAGGGTAAACCAAATGGCTTACAGGCGAGGTGGTTTTGGTACCACATGCACAGCTCCCCTTAATGTGCCTGTCCGATATAATCCAGAATATTTATGAGAAAGTTAAAGTTGGTAGAATGCACCAATCAAATTGGTGTTAAAATTATTCTAAAAGTGGTGGTCAGACGGACAAATTTTGAAAATAATGGGCTTAAATCATGCATTAAATTTAATTCAGATGATAGTATTCACAGATAGTACATTCGGATATAAGAAAATAAACTCTAGACTTTGTGTGCCATAAACTGTGCATTGCAACAAGTTAGAGATACCTCAACAGTTAGAAATGAGTAGGTTATCACTGATGTCCAGACAAAATTTCCTTCATTATAGACTGCATGACGCAGCACCAAGAGCCTAATCAGGAGAGGAAAGCTTAGGTCATAACTTCATCCACCAGAAATGAAATGCATTAAGGTGAATTAACCATAAAGCACCTAAACACGTTAGATTAGGCTATACAGATTTAAAATAGCATAAAATCACATAAAAAAAAAACCTTAGAAGTAAGAAGTCAGAATGTCTTGACGTGGCTTTTGTATTAACCTGAGTTTTTCAAGAATTCATGTTGAAATTACATTTGCAAACATTTTGAAAAGAAGTGGGTCTAGTCATTGGATTAGCTTCATTAGCTTTATAACTCAGTTTAAAATTAGAATTTTGATGACCCTTCACATGTAATCATCAGTGTCTATACACTTTGAATAATATGAGTTTTGTTCACAGAGCAGCTCTACACCAGGTTCTGTTACTTCTTTGATGCCATATCTAATATCTGTTTATTTTCTCATTAATCCACTCAATAAAGGAAGAGACTCGAGCATAAACACCAGGTGCATTAGGCTTAGCACATCCATTACCAAATGATGTTACACCCATTAATGTATATTTATCTGAAATAAAAAATAAATGTTTTTGAAAATTATATGAGTTTGGGCAACCCCTCATTATATTGGTTAAAATACAAATTTATCAGGAAAGATAGCTTGCTAGTTAAGGGCAAATATGCCTACTGGCGGCTTTGATTTTGAATAAAAAAATATTTATCAGTACAGTAACAATCACCAGTATGAAATATTCAACCTTCAGTCATACACTTCTTTTTGATTATTAATAATATTACCAAGTTTTGTCAAAATCAGGCAAGAATTACGCCTTTTAGCGTTGACGACTTAGTAATTGAAAGTGTTTTCAAGAACTCATATAAAACACTTTTCGATTTACAGCAAGCTGTACCACCAGTATTATGTATTTCGTTTAAGAAATAAAAAGGAAAAGTTGTAATGTCAGTCAAGAGTATGTAATGTCAATATAAATATATTGTAATATCAATATAAATATGTTTTGTCAAATACATTGTAATGTTATCCATTAAAAATTGTTTGTAATGTCATCCATGCAAATATGATGCAATGTCAATTCCTCAAATATTCTACATTGTAGGTTTTCAACCACAGGAACATGTCCCAAGGTGGGGACATGGCACTTTTCTTTTGGGACATTTGATGTGTCACAGCCTGTCACATGCTGCGAAAAATAACTACAATTTATACAACATCTCATATGGTGACTGCTGATTAAATTTGAGGACACATACAAAACAATATAAATATGTTGTTATATCAATAAATTGTAATGTCATCCATTAAAATGTGTTTGTAATGTCATCCATGACAAATATTGATTCTAAGAGATATTTAGCATTGTCACCTATACAGCAATTCTGCAAGGACAGTATGAAATTAAACCTTCTGACTACAAAAATAACACAAATATGTGTGTAATATTTTTGAGATTAAGGGATTCTAAAGAGGGTTCCAGAATTTAATGTATATAGTTTTAATTTGCTCCATTCTATAAATATGAAGTGACATCACTATCTGCTCCAGTTTGTTTGGAATAACAAACCACAGACATCAGGCAGGAAACTGGAATGGTGCAAATAGAAGCTACAAGCTTTCCTAATAAAACACTTTCTCCAACAACATATTCTAAGATATATTGCCACTTTAATTATCCAGTGAAGCATACTAATTTATATAACAGGATTTTAGACAATTAACAATAGTAACTAATCATCGTGCTTAAAGATCTATATCAATATTATTATCAAGATCATATTTCTTATAGTTCAATAGTATTTTGTGAAATAAAACATGTACATAAAATACAGTAGCCTATAATCACCTAAGCGTGTGTTAGTGTGTGGATAAATAGTAATAAATTAAAATCATATATCAAAATATCTGTGTCTGTGATCATTGGAATAGTAAAATTAAATCTATATATGAATGATCATATATTGATATACATCTCATTTTTACTATTGGAAAGTTAATAATTAGATGATATCTTTATTCATAAGAAATGTAATGTACTTACCATCACCAAGATCTCCCCAACCAGATATCAAACATCTCTCTCCGACTTTATATAGTTGATTACTAGATGGTAGACAGGCCGGTTGTACATAATTACTAAATATTATTCTTTTACCAGCTCGATTAGGCTTTATTTTTATTAATGCTATATCATTATCATGTGTGGAGCCTAAAAAGCCCAAAAAAAGCAATAATTAGTAGGGACAATAAGATTGTATCAACATAGTATTTGACTGACTGTGGAACCAATATATATTTCTACCTCTTAAAATAATGATACCCTATTTATGTTTGTGTAGGGAAAACAACCAATGATCAGGGGAGCTGTGCATAACTTTCTGCATTTGTTATTTACGGAATCAGTAATGCTCTTAGCTAGCAACGTGCTGGGTTTGAAAGGTCATGTACTATAATTCTAAAAGTTTAAATTAATTTTAATAAGAAAATCATGTATATAAGACTTACGTTGATAATTTTCATGAAGAATAAGTTCTTCAACTTCAAAATGTTGCTCATCTAAGTCTTCTTTTTTATGATGATGATCACCAACTCTTACTAATATACGATTCTTTCTCAGACGACTAGAAATATAACCAGAGTTTTCATTACCTGAATTAATGTCTACTGGTTTGGTAGACTTTTCATTTAAAATCAATTAGGGGCCTACATACAATACTAAATTTGATAAAATCATTGATCACTACAACAAGTATTCAAAGTCCTTTCTTGAGTCCAAATATAAAAAAAGGCCAAAACATTCCTAAAAATTTTGTATTCCAGAGATACATTCAATGTTTACAGAAAACCATTGCAGCTTCTGCATCATTATCAGATACAAGGGAGATCACTTCCATTAAACTCTATTTGAAGAATCTGAATGTAAACTAGATCTGTAGATCAATGGATGCCAAAAATACAGTCACATGGGGAGCTGTGCTAAAAAAAAGACATTTAAACATTCAAAAGATGCAATACAATGCAGGGACAAGAAAGATTATAACAGACATTCAAATATCTGTCAACAACTGGTAGCAGCCACAAGACGATACAAGGCCTATATCAAACAGTACTGACAAACAATTTGTATAATTGTAATATAATAAAAGAATAAAAAAGACAAAATTTCTATAAAAAGCTATAAAAAATGTCTCTCGGAAGTTGAATGGATCCTTTCATTTTCATGCATTATCAGATTTCTTCAATAATTACAAAAGAAAATATCAAATAAGATGGGTTAAATTTAAAGAAAAACAAAAAGAAAGAACAGGTCAGCTCTGTATTCCAATCATGATCTGACAAAGTGGTTATGTAACTCATGTTCTAGGGCATTGTAATAAAATCATATTTTGTCAACCAATTCAGTAAGAGGAATTCTGGTATGAACATTCAAACATTGAATTGTATTGTAAGCCCACCATTAGCAGAGCAAATTGTGATGCTATTGGGTCAAATTTTGCTCTTACTGATAAAAGAACTTTGGCAGATCATGGAGGGCAATAGTTTGTACCAATAGAAAAACTACAAAAAATCATATAAGCAGCATGCAAAATACATTCAAAAATTCTAGGTTTGAAGGAAATAATGCTCAACATTCTAAAAAAAATAAGCTCATTCCAAATTTGTATTAGACTTACTCAAAGCAATGAGCAGCCGTCAATATCCAGCGATCAGTAAGTATTGTACCACCACAATGACGAACTGAGAACAGACCGTATGATACTTTAATAATATTAACTTGCCATGGTAAAGAACCATGTGTGGCAATAAAACCACCAGATATACGAGGTGTATATTGATTAACATGTCTTACTCCACATTCCTTATTTAATCCTACAATAAAAAAACATTGTTTTAACTCTGCATACAACTTTGTTTGTAGAACTAACTTTTTTATTTTTAGATCTTTTCTTTCAATACCCATCTATTTCTGAGCTGCTCATTGCTTTATTTTGAAAAATTCTGCAAGAGTAATTGAAGGCCTTATTAGAATAAGATAGATTGAATGCAAAGTTAAGAAAATTGTTACACTGGAAACTGCATCACCATAGATAAGGAATATATTATATTATAACCTTGTTTCAGAATTTTGAGAAAATGCAACTGATTATTGCAAGTAAAGAAAGAAATTATAACAGGTAGAATAAGAAAAATATCAGCCTTGCAAATATATTTTCTCACAATAATTCTTACTGCATTTCAGACAACTAAAGTTTGGTTAGACAGCGAAAAACGATTAGAAAAGATGTATAAGATGATAAATGTATGAAAAATGGCAGCTGATAAAGTTGATGTTAAATTAAGTGGATTTTGCTTGTTAGAATAATAAACAGACTAGAAACAGTGACAAGTGCATGAGGTAATGAACTTTAGCTCTAAAAGGATTGTATAATTGTGTAATGAGGGATGAAGAGTGATATAAGCAAGAAAAAAGGCTGCAACATAGAAATACATACGTAAAGCAATGAGCAGCACTTAGTATCCATGTATCAGATATAATAGTTCCCCCACACCAATGTTGACTTAGAACACTGCCATCGCTATATTGGCTAACAATTTGTCTGATTCCAACTTGCCATGGATACATGCCATGGATTGCCAAATCACCACCAACAATTTTCTGAGCCCTGGGAAATTCAGCTTCTCTTTTAAATCGACTTCCAGTTGGGGTGTCCTCAAATGGTCTATTGCCACATTGTGAAGCTAAAAAAATAGAAGAAAAAGCGCTACGTTGCTTTGTAAGAACGGTAATGGATAGTTGTTTATGTCATCATGTCTCAGTTTTCCAACACGAAGGAACAAAAAAAATTATAACAAAAAAATAGCATAGTCTTCACTCTAAGGAAAGTTTGAAAGTTGACAGACAACAAAAACCTTACTCACCAGAATTCACATCAACTGTGTGGTTTTCAGTTGATTCAGTATAACAGACGACACCAGCATCTTCTGTATGATCACAATCATGTTCATAAACAGGAGCTGTATCACAATCATACAGAGACTTTTCAGTACCAAAACAATCAACTTCATCTAATATGATAGGTAAATGACTAGCTCCATTACCAAAGGCTGATTTGATTAGAGCTCTTCCACCGTTTCTACAGTGTTAAGAAAAAACAAAAAACTTCAATACATACTGAAAATCTTTATATTATTTCACAGAGAGTAAGTATTAATAGTCCACTATCTGCACTATACAGATAGTATATTATCTTATTATCATTGGTATAAACATATATATATATATATATATATATATATAAATATATATATATATGATAATTTGGTTAATATATAAAAGGCATCAATGTTCTTAGCTAAACTATTCTGCATATTTAGATGAATTCACAAAAAAAAAACCATGCTTTTACATCAATTGTTTCTGCAGTATTTTCATAATTTTGATACAGAAGTAAACTATATCAATCTATACAGGTAAATGTATAATGTATAATGGAGGCACCAACACATAAATAACAGTTGGAAGATATTCACTTACTTATAACCCAGCATCTTACAAATAACTGTTGCATCATTATCATCCCAAGAGTCATCACATATCGTACCTCGTTCTCCATCAATAATCACTTCTACTCTACCTTCATTAGGTTTACTACTTCCAATTAACTGTACACGTAATTCTACAGGGCAAATATAAACAGAGGGTTGCTGATTAACTCTAGAAGGAATTCTATAGAACAAATTGAAAACTGAGGATTATTCAGTTACTAGTTCGACAGGGTAAAGATAAACAGGAGATTACTTAAATGAAAATGAAATGAATGGAAGTTTACGTTCTACTTTTCTGCATGATTACTTGTTAAAGGTATTGTAAAAAGGTTTTTTAAATTTTTTATGTGTATCCTTGACACTAATAGCATCAATTTGCATATCTGTGGTGTCTGCAATTCCACTAAAACTAAGTGTTTGATGACGTCGATAATCGCGAAGGGCCTTAAGTGATTAAGTATATTTCCAACAATCCAAAATAGCTTAAAGGTGAAAGTTCTGTACATGTATACCTGGAAGAGATCCCTCTAAACAAATGACACCAGCATCTTCATTATGATCACAATCATGGGTTCCCCAGTCAGGTGTACAATCATCTATTGTATCCTCATCACCAGAACAGGCGACATTATCCAACCATATAATACCAATACCTTCACCAAAACGGGCTTTATTTACAGCTTTACCACCACGTCTAAAAGATACAAAATGTGTCTAACTATACCGAAACTTATAATTGTGATTATAGTGAAATTGGTTCAGTTATACTTTGTCGGGTCATTTGTCTTCACGTGATAAACCAACGTTGATTTTTCCATAACCATAAAAAGATCCACATTTATTCCTTAAATGATCAAAACACACTTATATAATGAAATCCATAAAAATTAAGCCTTCACTAGTATCTAATTGATTTTACACAATTTTAAGGATTCCTTAAATTTACAATAATAAACTCAAAAAAGTTTATTTTTTGAAAAAAGAAATATTTGCTACTGTTTCAATTCACCTGTACATGTCAATCATTAGACATAATTTTAATGGTTTATAATAGTAGTGTTAGTTGTATATCATTGTTTCTGCAAAGATTCAGAAGACTTACGGAAAACCTAGCTGATTACATATAACACTGGCGTCTTCATTATTCCAGTCATCATCACATACTGTACCTCTAATACCATTTCTTATAATCTCTACACGACCTTCATTAGGTTTAGTACCGTTAACTAATTCAACTATTGTTTCTACAAAATAACATAATTCATGTAGGCCCTACATTCAAACTTATTTAGATATGATTGGTAAATATGAAAAAAATGTGAACTCTTTTCTGCTGATATACTGAGTGATTGAGTAAACAATTCTTGGCAGATGAAATATTAATTATCAGCATTTTAATGGCAACCATCCCCTTTTCCCGCTTTCACATAAAATCTCACTTTTATCATGTAAATAAAGTAGAATGCCAGATTTTAAATGAAATGAGATTTACTGTCATTCCAAAAGTTTTAATTATCAATCAGACCTGCAACAAAATTCAATCATAATGGGCTCAAAAATATAAAAATAACAAGTTTATGTAGTCTGTTGGTGTCATAACCTGTCTTTAACACAACTTTTGAATCTCCTAGACGAAAAACAATATTAACTCATATTTTTCTGCACATCAAATGAATGTATAAAAACATACTACAATTCTTTTCATCTGAATCATCTAAACAATCATTTTCACCATCACAAACATAAGTTCCTTTTATACAGTTCATATTATCACATAGGAATTGTTCAGTATCACATCCTGAAAAATATCAAAATATATTCAGGTAAAATCTTTTGGTTGGCTTCAAAGACATTCATAATGACAAACTGTATTTCTGAAAAATATACATTAATTTTGTCATCCATTTTTGAAATTGTCATCCAGCCTTTTTTTTGTACATATTGAAAACATACTGTACATCTAAAAACCTAGACTTTACCTTTTTCCACCCTACAATCCACACCTACAGCTTCAAATGGTTGACAAGAATGTTGTCTCCATGGTGATTTTTCACATTCATTTAGACTAGTTTCATTTCCAAAACACTCTACATCTGATAATAAAATGTTGCCTGAACCTGATCCATAATCTACATCAGATGTATCTCTCTCTGCAGCACTAGAAAATAAACATGTGATTTTAAAGACTTATCTATAGGCAATCCATGAAATTTATGCTTATCTGTTGGCATTTTGGCACCATAAAGTTTGTTTCAGTATGAGATATGTATGGGTATGACACAGACACAAACAAATTTGAAATAATTAAGGACATGAATAAGATCTTTTTATTGTGAATATTACATTAAATGTACATAAACCAATCTCCTAAAGAATGAGTGAAAGAATTTAACCAAAGATGTTGTAGTGGTCACTTTGTTCTGTATAGCTTAAATCTGAAATTTAATATTTCATTTATCTAAATTTTACTTAAAAGTGTATTCATAGAAAACAATAATCAACTTACAGCTACAGTGTTCAAAAAGCAACAGTTTAGGTATCAGAGAATTTGAAAATGACTTATTGAAAGGAATATAACAATTTCCACTATATACTAGTTTTATAATTTTTGAATCATTAACAATAAAAGAAGAGCTTATATAATATGATGAGATGAAATAATCCAGATTTCAGACTTAGGAATAATCAAAGAAAATGACTTACGGGTAACCCAGCATCCTACAAACAACATTAGAATCTTGTATATCCCATTTATCATCACAAACTGTTCCCCATTCACCCATGTAATTTATCTCTAGTCTACCAGAATGTTCATCTTCACCATCAACTAAACGTACTTCAATTGTTGCTGGTGTACCTTCAATAGAATCAGAAGAAGAGTTTTATTTCAGTACAGTGACACTCATTGTCATAGTAATGTCAAACATCAGACAAATTCTTGATTTGTATAATTCTATACCCCAGCTTGGTACCAGATACTAAAGTTTTCCAAAATGTCTGTTGTGAACCTTTCTGCAATCAAAAAAATTTCATCTTATAATGGAAATGGGGATGGTGGTTGGATGGTAGATGACACGTTTAAATATGCTTCCAGCTAAAGCATATATTTCTATATGGGAATTAAAAACTAAAAGTGTCCCTAAAAAGGGACTAACATGAAAGGGGCTAAGGTAAAAAGGTTACATTATAAGGTTTACTACAGAATTGAATAAAGCTCACTATCACAATTATCTTCATCAGAAAAATCATTACAATTGTCTTCTCCATTACATACTTCATTTCGAGATACACATTTACCATTATTACATCTATAATACCCTGTACAATTCTCTAGAATTATAGACATTTCATTAGATTTATAATACCCTGTACAATTCTCTAGAATTATAAACATTTCATTAGATTTATAATACCCTGTACAATTCTCTAGAATTATAAACATTTTATTACATCTATAATACCCTGTACAATTCTCTAGAAATATAAACATTTCATTAGATTTATAATACCCTGTACAATTCTCTAGAATTATAAACATTTCATTAGATTTATAATACCCTGTATAATTCTCTAGAATTATAAACATTTTATTACATTTATAATACCCTGTACAATTCTCTAGAATTATAAACATTTCATTAGATTTATAATACCCTGTATAATTCTCTAGAATTATAAACATTTTATTACATTTATAATACCCTGTACAATTCTCTAGAATTATAAACATTTCATTAGATTTATAATACCCTGTATAATTCTCTAGAATTATAAACATTTTATTACATTTATAATACCCTGTACAATTCTCTAGAATTATAAACATTTCATTAGATTTATAATACCCTGTATAATTCTCTACAATTATAAACATTTTATTACATTTATAATACCCTGTACAATTCTCTAGAATTATAAACATTTCATTAGATTTATAATACCCTGTATAATTCTCTAGAATTATAAACATTTTATTACATTTATAATACCCTGTACAATTCTCTAGAAAATAGATATCATCATATAAGATTAATATTAAGCTATTTTCTCTATTTTCACTGTCAATCATGAAAAGTTTGTGTAAACAAAATGATTACCTGTTTGAGTTTCAAGTTCATAATAATCATATCGTGAACTATATAATAATCTACCACTCTTGGTATTAACATCAGTTAGAAAACATCTCCCATAAGCATCACCATATGAAAACGATCGACATACAAAATCTTTGGTATTCACACATTTTTTAGCACACTGAAAATATAGATATTTTACTTTTAATTCAAATTGTGTAACAAATGATAAGAGGTCTGAATTTATTTCATTCAAGTCATGGTATAAAATGTCCCTTTATTATTCATCATAAAAAAATTCAGCTGTGACATCCCTGTTTCTAATATAATTTGTATCTAATCAATCAACTTTTACTTTTTTCATTTCAAGACTAATGCAAGTTTTTCTACAATAATTACTGTATGTGTTATTAGCCAAACTTTGACTAAGTTTAAAAACCTGCCATGCTGGGAACAAAAGGCACATGTACACACAGTTTATAAATTTTCTATTTATAAAATACAAAAACTTACATATTCAATGGTAGAATTGATATAATCTACTCTATTAGTATAACCTGATACCATAGTATTACTCTGAGCTTTAAAATCATCTACAGCATATTCTGTTAAAGAAAGAAAACAACAAGTTAAACACTTTAAATGGTAAATATATGTGAGATGTTTCCTGCATCAGATGTGGCAAGACTTACAATTAACATTTTTATAAAAAGTTTTCCACAAACATAACTAATCAATTAAAATGTTGAAGATGGTTCATGACTTCAAAAAAATCATTTGCAAGAGATATTCAACATTTATAGACTTTAGCACACAAGATTTTGGTTTATCCATCATCTGATTCAAATGAAACTTTTTCCCTAAAACAGATATTTATATACAATTATAAAATTGGCAACATAAAAAAATGACAGCCATCACTAATATCATACAAAAATTTATGTATCAGAAAAACAAGTGTTTAGTACATACCACAACCAAGTTCATCTTCACCAAACGTACAATCTTGTTCCCCATCACATCTCCATGATGATTGGATACACCTAGAATTATTAATCTACTATTTAATGAATATACAAAACAGTTTAGAAATATAAAGAAATAAAACTCCATTCAAATGAACTATTTAAGCCTTTGTCTCTTTACTTTCCTAATGACCCTTGAGAATCCCATTGAAACATTGCATTAAAGAAATATTCTACAAAAATCTATCCATTCAACTGGACTTTTTCTGCTCATGGAAAAAAGGTAAAATCACTATATAACTTACACTTTTTCTTTAGAACAGTAATACTGATCATCAGGACAATTTTTAACTTCTGAAAAAAAATAGTAAGTTTTAGATTTATATAATAATTTGTAGTGTGGATAAAATATTTACCTGATGTAGCTTGTGTTGTATCTTGTATAATGTAGATAAAATATTCACCTGATGTAGCTTTTAATATTGTATCTTGTGTGTGTGTAGATAAAATATTAAACTGATGTAGCTTCTATTGTATCTTATGTGTGTGTAGATAAAATATTCAACTGATGTAGCTTCTGTTGTATCTTGTGGGTGTGTAGATAAAATATTCAACTGATGTAGCTTCTATTGTATTTTGTGTGTGTGTAGATAAAATATTCACCTGATGTAGCTTCTATTGTATCTTGTGTGTGTGTAGATAAAATATTTACCTGATGTAGCTTCTATTGTATCTTGTGTGTGTAGATAAAATATTTACCTGGTGTAGCTTCTATTGTATCTTGTGTGTGTGTAGATAAAATATTCAACTGATGTAGCTTCTATTGTATCTTGTGTGTGTAGATAAAATATTCAACTGATGTAGCTTCTATTGTATCTTGTGGGTGTGTAAATAAAATATTTACCTGATGTAGCTTCTACTGTATCTTGTGTGTGTGTAGATAAAATATTCACCTGATGTAGCTTCTATTGTATCTTGTGTGTGTGTAGATAAAATATTTACCTGATGTAGCTTCTATTGTATCTTGTGTGTGTGTAGATAAAATATTCAACTGATGTAGCTTCTATTGTATCTTGTGTGTGTGTAGATAAAATATTCACCTGATGTAGCTTCTATTGTATCTTGTGTGTGTGTAGATAAAATATTTACCTGGTGTAGCTTCTATTGTATCTTGTGTGTGTGTAGATAAAATATTCAACTGATGTAGCTTCTATTGTATCTTGTGTGTGTGTAGATAAAATATTCACCTGATGTAGCTTCTATTGTATCTTGTGTGTGTAGATAAAATATTTACCTGGTGTAGCTTCTGTTGTATCTTGTGTATGTGTGTGGTTACAATGCTGAACAGGGCAATAACCAAATTTAATTTCTTTATGATTCACCCAACACCATGGTTTAGCATCACCATCTGGGTTACGACATAAATTATGCTCTCCCAAACCCTACAAATGTTAAAAAACAAACAAAAAATAAGGAAGAACCATTTTGGAGAAAATAAAATAAGGTATAAATCTTAACTCAAAATAATATTCAAATATATTACTGAGTGTCAAAAGATTTCAACTAAATGTATACAAAAATTTATGGATGACAGAAAACGATTATTGCCAAAGAGTTTGATAATTTAATATGAGCATTTTTCCTTGTGTTCCTTTTTTTCAAATATCTGTTTGTATGTATGTTTAAATATATAAATTTTACCTTATCTGGATGAGTTTCAGGGTTAACCAGTCTAGAATCAGTCCAGTTTAAACATAATGTACCCTTATCTGTTACTGATACAAACCCTCTATAATCACTGCCATTTTCACTGTGAAAACATTCTACAAAATACATAATAATATACATTACATAAAATATCATTCAACATTATAATTAGATGGTCTCTGATTTAAGAATAAACTCAAAGTTGGCTGTTTGAACTAAAATTCTATAAAACAGAAGTTTGTTTTTACTGATTTTTCTTAGAAGAGAACAAACAAAGTTCCATATTTTTTTTGTTACTGGATATAAATCAGAGAAACCTTGCATCTGCTCCACAAAGTCCAATGCATGGTTAGATATATGTAGTACAAACCTTCTGGTTCTGGTAAACCTTGTTTCTCACAAATAAAATCAAACTGACTGACACGACTAGCACAGATTTTAGCTGCCCAATAAAAATAATCTAACTGTACAGTACTACCATTAGGATGTCTGAATTGATCAGTTAATGCTAAACAATAATGTCTTCTGTTTCGTTGTGGTTCTTTGGAAAATCTATTCTCACCCCAACCTGTCAAAAATAAATGATAATAATGAAGTTGATTAATGTTTTCTACACAAGACATTCTTAGTGAACAATAAATTTCACACTGCCAAGTAATTTGATTCATCTCTTTTTAAGAAAAGTATATAATACTCTTATTCTCAATTCAGTCAGTTAGCTTACTTTCATAACATATGAAAACCATATAAAAACATACACAACAAAACTCACCTGGAAACCATTTATTAAATGATAAGGCAGCTTTAGATAAACGTGGTGCCCTGTTTCTACTTCTACCTCGTCTAGTATTTCTCACTGACACAGATGATGGATGAAGTTTATACCATTTCCAATCACCTTTAATCCTTTTACCACCAGTATACCATACACGATCATCTGAAACACAACAGATAATCTAAACTTCTGTTCTTCACCTATATTCTTAGGAATGGCCTAGGATATATCAGATTTCAGTATCAAAATAAGGTCATAAACAATCACTAATATTCAAAACAATGTATAAAATACTAAGATATTTAAGTAATTCAGGTTATTTGTAAGGAGATTACAAATAGTTTATGAACATGTACCTTTGTCCTTCATGATCAGTGAAAATTGTATGAAAAAAAAACCTCATGAAATAGAAACATGTAGATTTGCATTTAATTAGTTCAAGCAGATAGTGTAATGTTTACTTTTAAACCAGTTGATGAATTTGAAAGTAAGAACAGACGAGGTATGGTGTCTTGTGCGGAATAATTGATACAAACAAAAATTGAAGTGAACACGCGAAGTACAAGTCTGGACATTGTCCTGACAAGATTCCTTTCTTCTCTTTTCTACTGTATCGATAATCCTGCACCAGGCACCGTATCTTGTCTATTCGCACCTTTAGACAAGCTTCCATCCTATTAAAGTGTAATTTTTACCTGTTGTAACCTTTAAAATATTGGACAAGAAATTATTTTCTTCTTCAGACTCAATATTCACTAAACTGGCACTATATGAAGCACACTTCTCTATTGCTTGTTTCAAGTTTCTGGCACCACCAAAAAACATATAACAACTACCATCTCTAGCTACCCAACCATCCTCACATCCTAAAACAAAACATAAGTTCAAAACGTCAAATTCTTATTTCTGAGCTTTGTAAACTAGCTGACAAATGTTTCTATTAATGGGTACTAAAAAAAAAATTTGAATGACACAATACTCATACTTAATATCAAATATGATAGTGAGATTATACCCATCATTACCACCTACAACCATACTGCCACCAGTTCCTCTCTTATCATCAGATGCTATTACCAGAATATTCAAGTCCAATATCCCCATGTTTACAGCAAGAGACTTGTAACAGCTTATAGAAGATATAGAAATATCAGTAACATTCTATTCCATGGTAGATTTGACACTCAACAATCTTATAGTACACAAATAACTTAAGATTTAATTTCTTTGTTATTTACTACAATGTTTTCTATTCATAATAAATGCATCTTAATCTCTTGCAGGTAGTTTGTTCTTAAATAATTCCATATTACAGGATTTATCATTAGGTATTTAGTGACGAATGTTGTTTCTCGTTTTTGGACTACATGGAGATAGTTGAACTCTAAATTAGTTCACTGGTTTGTGGTGTAACATGTGATAAACATGGTCAAAAGATCAAAAGATCAAAAGATCAAAAGGTACAGATTTACGATAAAATAAGGTGCAAGTTAGAGGTTAAGATAATTAGATACGTTAACTATGGATGACTTCTCTTCAAATCTCATTTCTTTTTGGCAAGTCAATGACTGTCAAAATACCAATCAGCGTACAGAATAGGCATTATGCCATTTTGAAAAGAGATCTATATAGCTTCAGAAATGCAATTTTGACATAAGCAGAACTAAATTCAACAGTTTCCACATAAAGGCATAGTCTTAAGTTGAAAATAGCACTGATTTAATAATTTCTATAAAATTCAAAAATACCTTGATTAGGTTTACACACAACTGATGCGGCCTCACTTGCAGCACAATCATGAAATGTAGTATAAACACAGGATTGTAAATTTGTCTCAGTCCCTTTACATTGCACATTATCCATTAGTATATCATTATCTTCATTAGAAACACCATAGAATGCTTTTCCTGGACTTGATATAGCACCTCTACAATATATACTTTACTATTATTACAACTATTGATTTACTGTTAGATTTATAACAAAAATCAAGCCTGTTCATTCACGTTCACCTAGGTCATACATGGGTATCCTCTACAACATATTCAAAATGCAAATTTGAAACACTTTGGCCATTTCCTATTTTAATTTAAACTGCAGTCAATACATGAGGTATGAACTATGAAGGGTTCTGTATCACAGACGATTAGAGCATTGTACACTTAACATCACATCATTTGCTCAGTTACATCAAACTAATCTTAAATAATATTATCATTATTCCAGTCAAAACAGTTAATAAGTATGAATAATTCGGGAAAGATCAATGCCAAGAGGTTTAAAGTTGAAACAAAGATTAGAATTAGAAATGTACTTACTGTTTGAAACCTAATTGTTTACAAGCAACTGAAGCATCTTGTATATCCCATTCATCATCACATACTAATCCCCATCTTCCACCACGAAATACTTCAATTCTACCAGCATTCAATGCTGAACTGTTACCTCTTAATCTGCAATATAATGGTAAAAATCATGCTGAAGGCAGAAAACCAAAAAGGGCTGTGGTATAGCTCAGTCAAAAGAGAGCTAAATTGTTTTCAACTTGGCAATAAGAACTGTTTGGAGTTTAAATTTCCATAAGGAAGGAAACCAATTTTTGTCATGCGAGTGCTGCTCAATATAATCTCAGTGTCAACTTTCAACCTGTTCCATGAAATGATACCATAACAACTTATACCTCCTACACATACATGAATTTACAACAAAATCTGATTGTTGTCACGGATAACAACAAGCAACGTACAGACATTTCACGAGTTGTAAATTTGTTGTTACGTAAGTCAGTTAGGAGTCAGTTACGAGTATTTTCCTCAAACAGAAAACTATACATGAGAATACATATTTATACGTAAAATACTCGTAATTACACCAAAACTCCTAGAATAACTCGAACAAATCGTAAACTTATCATAATAAATCTTGAAACCTTTGGACCCTACATCATGCTGCTTTCTACCAACTCACATATACCATGAACTTACCTTATATGTTCACCACTGTATGGTACAGCTACTTCTGCTGATTGTTTTTGTCTTGGTTTAAATGATTGACCAGAATTATCACCTGATAGTGACGGCACCAATTTATGACCTGGAGGTCCTTTATTATATCTTCTACCATTTACTGTATCTCTCCATGGCTAAAGTCATAATAATTTAATTCAACTGTATACAAATATAATTCCAAAGGACAAAGGTTGATAAGGACGATGAAAAAAAACAAATGGATCTAATTCTTGACACTAGGCAAAATTCACATCTATGAAAATGTGAAATTAGGAATTTGACTTGACCAATTGTTTTGGTCAGAACAGTAAAAGTATCACAGCAGAATAAGATAAACAATAAATACTTACAAATCTAACGTTATTCAAATCTGGATCTACAAATAAATCAGAATATTTCAAAAAATATCTTAAAAACTAACCTGTACATATTGGACAGAGGTGGTGCCATTTGCACCATTCCAATTTTCAATCAGACTTCCAAAAGCTCTATGTCAACAAATGCTCAGTTGCCATGAACAGTGAGCAAGGTATTAAAAAAACTCACCGTAGCAATATCATGATAGTCTGATGTAATAAAACAAGTTTTGAATATCAATTTCAGAAGTATGAAAGGCAACACTTACTTTTTATATCACTTCCTATCATTGGTGGATGGGGGCCAGGTCTTGGGTGAAATCTTGGGTGAAAGCCAGGTCTTGGGCGACCATATAAATCTAGAAACTACAAGACAATAAGAAATGTACACTGTCAATATGGAATTTTATACAACCTTGAAGCAAGAAAGTCTTTCATCCTCAAAACAATATATAGAATGTAAATACGATAAATACAAAATATTATTGTCACTTGGAAATTCAACTTGAATTAACTTCTGTTCTCTATTTTGACATGAACAACTAGCAAAATTAGCATAAAGGATCATAAAATTGCATGAATTTTAGAATAAACAATTAGGAGTTAGTGATTACTCAGTCTATGAGATCAGGTCTACTTGAAAGTCACAGTATCGCTCATATATAAGCACTTGCTAAATAACTGGATGGTATCAGTTCTGACTGCTAATTTTGCAATTTGTCAGTTGCCGGTGTGCTCATATTCTCCCAAATTAATGCAGTTGTTGAAAATCCAGTTTTTGAGACTCTGTCAGTTGTGAGGTTGACCTGGGAGCTCTTAAAAATCAAAGAATAAAAAATCAACTCACCTTTTTTCTTCTTTTCTTACATTCCACAGAATTCACCAAAAGACTTAGTATTAATATGATTACAAATATATTCATGGTTAAATTTCTAACATCAATCAGAAGAAACTAATTTTTCGAATGTGAATCAAGGTTAATACTGTCTTAAATAGGAAATGTTTAAAGGAGTAGATTTTCCTGTCCCGTTACATGACCTTTGTAATATGACAAGTTGTGTATGTTATTTGATGAGTTCATCTCAATGCCTAATTACTCCTAATCAGTTGCTTATCAATTATGTCAATTAAACATTGATTAGTCAAACTTAAACTCACTTCTTGCAAGAAATTAACATTTCGATTTGTGCAGTTTGGTGTCAAGTTCAATTCAAAGCTATGATCTGTAACTACTATAGGTGAAGAAAACTTTAGAGACAGGTTCCATTTGTTAAATTGTCAATGTCATATGGCAAAGCTTCAGTTGGTTTTAATTTTTCCGTCACTCCTTTATTTAGCTCAGTATTAACCCATATTTATCGGGTTTGCTTCAACTTTTTTTGAAGATAATTAAACTTCATCTTCAAACTTAAAAAATGATCTATGAAAAGATTAATTAAAGAAAAAGGGACAAACATAAAAGTACCAAGAACTAGGAGATAATTCTCATTCTTATTGATCACAAATCTACAGGTTTAACACTGTAACATTATTATCAGTTTTCCATTATCATTTATAGGAGAAGTAATTTTTTTTTGATGTAAGTTAGAAATAAATAAATCTGATCTGAAGTGAGTTTAACTACAGAGAGAAGGAATGGTTGTTGAAACCAATATAGAAACATTTCAACACCATGATATGTCAGTGGTATTAAATTTTAGACGCAATAAATTATGAAGACTATCTTTAGACATCCATGAGTAGGTCTATTATATTATACTAGAGCCAAGCCAGGCAAATGAAATGAAGATCTATATCTTATTGGTCTAGAGAACGGGGGTTTTCAACCTTTTTCTTTCTATTACCCCTTTCAGGATCCTTGATAGATTGCATTACCACCCTTTACCTATAAATCCCTACTATTTTGTGCCTTTCTCATAGGTTTTCCCTGAAATCTTTTTCATGCTTAACTACAAAGCTTCTCATTACCCCCACAAAATGTTATAATTACTCCCTTAGGGGTAATATGAACGAAGAATGTATGGATGGATTGACAGACATGAGAGACTACAATTGAATTTTTCGAAAAATTGTTCAATTATAGAAGAAACTCTTTTGTAAGTGTCTACATAAAAACTCTTTAGAAAAAAATTTAATATTATATTTAAGAATATTTTTGTACAATATCACTTTTTTCTTTCATTTAATGCTTTAACATAACGTGCAATAGATGGATTTGTTTTTAATGGTTGAAGTGGTATGTCTACTTTAAAAAACTTCTTAACTTGTGGTAAATTACATCCTAATCGAATCATATTGGAGAAAAATCCATTACAAATCCAATACAGAACCATACACTGAAAAAAAAAAAAGGTTTTGCACATAATGTTTATGAAGGAATCTTTTTATAGACATTGGCATAAAAATTGTTTTTTTCACATACTTTGCATCTTCATTTAAAACATTATTTTGATGTTCACCTGTTCCCAATCTGTTCTTACCGTTGGGCAAACTGTTGCGATGAACATGAAAAGTACACTACAACCAGTCATAAAATACTTAATCCAAACACTAGTATTGTTTCCTTTAGGAGCTGTGGATCTTAAAACCTGAAATGTTATACCACACAATATTACATGATACTCATCATAATGACCTGTACATCACTCTCACCTTAAATGCTTTATTTCACCTATAACTTTCACCTATGACTAATCAACATTGACCAGTAAAGCACATCAACTTCTGCTACTAAAGCATTTTGAAAGTGAAATTAACATTTTTGGGTAAAAACATTTCAGCAAGGTGAAAAAATTCAGCCATTGATTCAACGAATATACAAAATTGCAAGTTTTTGTACATTGACCTGATGAATTAAAGTTAATGACATTCAAGTAGATTGCAGTGAGTGAGCCTACAGCTCATATTGACCGCAATGGATCAATGAGGTTCAGTGAAATCCACATGCGCCTCATTCAATGATTTATAAATAACCTACATAATCTCTTCTTAAACTCTGCACACCCAATAACATTGGTAATATAAAATAAGGATCAGGAATTGCTAAATTTGGAAACCATAAAATACCTTCAGTCATCAATTCTGGACTCTTTGCTATAGACGCTACAAAATATTTCATTTCAGCTATTAATATTCAATAAATGTTAAACTTTAGGTAGGTAAGATATGTCCTTATAGATCAATATCAATGACACAGTAACAATACTATTGTAATACAAAATCCAGAAATTTATGTTGCAGCATACTCATAAGACACACAGATTCATCAAATTTAGAACCCAAGAAAAGATAGCTTGCTAGGCAAGGTAACATACACCCACTACCAGCTGTCAGAAATGGTTACAAAGTCTTTAGTGGCTTAATAATAAAGTCAAGGCAGAACCTAAAAAACATGTCATCAAGGTCTCTTTGACGCACACATAGTGACAATAACTCTGAAACTGTTCATCCCATTGTTACCAATTTAAAACTTGACCAAGATCTCATCAATATATACATGAATACCATGTTTTATCAAGATCAGGTGAAAACTGTAGACTCTATTCTGCCTACAAGAAAAATTCGATGCATTTTACTTAGTTAAGAGCAATAACTCTGAAACAGTTCATTGGAGTATTACCAATTTGAACTTGACATGCATACCAAATCGGTTTAAAACTGTAGCCTCTATCTTGTGGATAGATGGACAGAAGGACCAACAGACAGGGGCGACAGCAAAATATGTCCACATTTCCTTGCAGGCGTATAAAAATGATTTATATTTACCTGAAAATAAAGAACTAACAGAGTTTCCACTAAGATTTCTAAATGCAATCGATACTCCAAGAAGAAGTGGTATCGTTGATAATTCAGCCACCGTCACCTTTCTTGGATGACAATTGTGTTCAATAAATAATTCTCTTTCCTTCTCTTGATACTAACAAAATAAACAGAATGTAATCTTATAACTATTTGTCTATTGTATAATATCATCTCATCTTCATTTTGAAAACATATATCAGACAAAAAAATAATAACATCAGAATTAACAGTTCAAAATTGTTCATAAAGTATCAAAGCTAAGACCATAACATTTGACCTAATAATTAAAGAGATATTAGACATCTTTTTATCCCATAAATTTGCAGCATTTTAAGAATTTCTTGCACAAAAAATAAATTCCTAGGTCAGTCAATATATGAAATACACTCTAAGAATAATTCTGCCAGATCTGTGATAGGCCTAATCATTATTGAATATTGCCATGTATTTCAAGTCAACTTACAAGTTCATAGCTAATAAAGTCACAATTTGTCTGAACCAGAGGTATATGGAAAAATTTCGTTAGATTATACTATTCTGAAGAGAAAATTGTTTTTAAATGAGTGACAGAGAAACAATTGATTTAAATATATAATGTGCACATCAGATTAACCTTGGGAGATGAGTGGGCTCTGGCTGGAACACATTTACAATGACAATGAAAGCCTACTCTACTCACAATGTTGACCATCAACTTTTTTGCTTCTAGTAGTCCAAGCTTTTTTTTAAACACTTCCATTTTATACTTCTTTGTCATTTGAGGCATAGATGACATAAGTTTTTCATAAACTGTTCGAAGTTTCACTTTCTGTTTCATAGTACATATTGTCAGAGGTAATCTGAACGTTAGGTTTAAAATGCAGGCTGTAAGAACTATATCAATCCACCATGGCAACCCTGTCAAATTATGGAGGTACAAAAGGCAGTCCTCGCATCCCTTTACAACAGCATTGTTGCTTACAATTTCAATATAGTTTTCCATAAAAGATGCACGTCTAATTTGGGGCTTCAGATTTGATAAGTTTGTCTTGTTATTAATAAGAAATAATGGAGTCTTTCCCACCATATGAATCCCACGCTTTGAAGTTTGATTTTGTTGTATATGTAAAAATGCAAATCCATGGCCATTATTTCTATTGCTGTCTAAAGACGCTTGTGAAATTACACCAAAGCTTCTGCAGTTTATTTTGTACACGCCAACACGAAGATGACAAAACATTCTACAACTTCTATTCATTCCTATCTACTTTCTCATCTGCCTACATTAAAATTTGAATGAAAAAAAAAATAGTGATAGATTATTTATAAAATAATTATGTCTATGGTAGCCTGTTATCAGATTAAAACCGTATAAGAAATTGCACCTTATACGACATAATCGTTTGAATTGATTTTATAATAAATTGGAAAATTGTTGCTGGGACTAGGATTGCTAATCGAGATCAAAATGTAGGCTACAGATAGGCCTACTGTCAAAAGATTTTCAGGTGTCAGTGTTGGAAATTTTATGCAGCACAGGGGTTCAAACTCACTATAATTTGTAATTGTATCCAAGTCAAAGTGCAAGTCCATGAGTAGGCCTATGAGTTATTGAGAAATAACCCTGTTACTCATTAAACTCGGCCTGAAATGAGAGCGTGTAGTCATTTATTCGGAATTGTTTATGTAAGATTTTTTAAAAAGACACGATGATATGAGTATGAAATTCAAATTCGGGAATTGACATCTTTATAATTTCATTCTTTAAGATCCTTTTTATTACCAAAGCATAAAATTTGTCAATCAAATGCATTCCCCCACTAACCTAAAGACACAATATATTTCGTTTCGTAGAAACAGACTAAAAATTTGTGGAATCCTCACTTGAGGTGGAAGTAATAAACAAAATCGTTGCCCTGTCCAAAGATACTGAGTAACAATAATTTAGTCCTTGGTTCTCCTGTACTTGGCCTTGAGGTAAGCCCGCCTGCATGTTTTGGTATTGATAACACATAATATGCTTTCTGACAATACTATGATTCCGTTAACAAAGCATTTGTCCATAATATCCTACGAGGTAAATGTCCGAAAATGGATTAGGTTAAGATAATGCTTAAAAATCGTTACCGGTAAACCATGCTTTGAGAAAATGGTGTCAGTAATCTTCCGACAAATCCGAAAGGTCGATATTACATCTCTGACCATTAGTCCAAAACATCTGCCTCTATTCCAGCCTCTGATGGATATTTTGACAGTTGTCAGCTGAAGTATAATCAGAAGAAAAAAGACCCTGTTAAATAGGGATTTTCCACACCTCCAAACATACATTTTCTCTAACATAATATTGTTATTGAATAACATTTAAGATGATTGTAAATTAGTGTTGGGTATCACTGTAACTTTCATTTTGTTAGGATCACTTGAATCTGTGACCTTTGAACTTTTTGCAGTTTTAAATGGCAGATGCTAGATCAGTTTCACCAAAAAAAAAGCTTTGATGGAACCGGGAAATGATATAAATGGTGTAGGGAGAAAATAATAAGATGACTGAACTACAAAAATATTCATCTTTCCAATATCCCAGGGTTTTGCTGATAGCTATCAGAGGCTAGAATAGAGACAGATTTTTCAGTCTACTCAGGCCATCTCAAATCCGTTGGCTTCACCCCTTAGACTTTAGTAGAGAGGCACCTCATTTTTAGCCCCATTCTGCTTTGGCTTTTTCCTTTGCTACTCCCTGACCTCTAGATTTTTAGCTGTTTCCTTTCATAATACAAATTTCAAATTTGATTTTTTAATTGATTGACATTTGTTATAGAGACTATTTTTTTTTTTTCTTTCAGGGATTGGAATAATGTTTTCCCTCAAAAAGTTCCAGTTACCTTTGTTTACTTCATCAGTGACAGTATGGAAGCATTTTCTAAAGATAACAGTTATAAAACGGGCAAATAAATGTCGAACGTTCATTACCAAAACGAAGGGCAGAAGTTCAACTTCACATTTTAAAGACAAAACAGGAGAAATTCAATATTTAGTTATAAATTCTAGTGTCGGTAGATGGGAAGACATACCGAATGGTGTCCCAATGGATGTTGGTTATTATGACACTGTGAAAAACATCAATAATTTGAGTTCTCATATGTCTGAATCTCAAAAAGTAGTATTGGCTCTACACGATACTCCAGGAGTCCATGATGATGTCATGCCACTATTACAACCATTGGAATTGAAGGGATATAGAGTTATTGCCCCTAATTTTCCAGGTTTTGGAATTACAAAAGGAGTTGACAAGAGTGGAAATTCTTACTTTACGCATTCAGCTGATGAGAAAAGAGAATTGATGTTAGGACTAATGAGAAATTTAAGCATCAAGAATATAGACTTGCTGATTGCTTTGGGTGCATCAGCTGATGTTGCTATGAGACTAGCTACTTTCAAGCAAAGTGATTTGAACGTAAAATCTTTGGTATTAATCAATCCTTGGCCACACAAAATGTTTAACCTTCTTGGACATTCTCCTAACTTGTACGATATCTTGCCATCATTATGTGACTATAAAACACTGAGATTTTTAGCTAGACCATTGTTATATGGCTTGAAGTCAAATATGAAGATGGACTATATGACTATTAAAGAATTTATTGTGTTTTGTTTTACGGCAAGTGAAGTTGACTTTCGAGAAGTTCGTGGAAATATCAAAGCATCTGTTATAAAGAAAATACCAAGAATGATAATATATAGTGAAGATGATAATTTTATTCAGAAAGATATTGCTAAAGAATATATTGAAGGTCATGGCATTAAAACTGATAATTCTATTGTGGTGGGTGAAGATGGTCAAATGCTTAAAAATAATTTATCTTCAGACATAAACCAGAGTGTGACATTTAAATCATCTTATTCAAATCTGATCCCAAACTTTTCAAAAGAAATCAATGGTCTCATGCATTCATTTCTTGAAAAAGTGAAGAAATGAACAAATAAATCTATTTTATTACCAATGTTTCTAGTTTGTACGAAACCTCAGCATTTGGAAATCTGAAATTGATCAGGTTCATTGAAGTGAAGAGAAAAAAGTTTAATTAAATCACAGGCCAGTCCCATTGAAAAACTGAAGTGTGATATATGTAGTGTAATTTTAGCACTGCCTTTATCAAGTAGTAAACCTTTTCTATTCATGCTAAAAATTATTAAAGCTGTACTCAGATGACACAGCAAATATATCCTTTCATATTCAATTGTTGGTCTTTTTCAAAGTTTATTTGAAGTTTATCTAGTTGGTCTAGAGTATCTTTAAAGTTTGGCATTATATTAGTCAGTTTTGAGTGAGTGGGATTAAGGATCTAAATCTTGCTTAGACTTTAGATAGAAACATCCAGTCTCTCAATGCTGTCTGCAGAGAGTCAGAAGAAGCACAATATTCTTCTTCCTTGAGGTTTTTTTTCCAAAAAGCGACAATTTTCTTGTAGAGATCAGCTCCATACCATCCTTTTTTTGACAGAATAAACCACTAATTGTTGTCTCTAATCTGTGTTAAAATATTCAAGCGTGGAGCTATTATGAAGATGGTCACCATCTTATATAAGACTTCTAGACATTGAAAATTTCAGCCAATCGAAAGACATGAATTTCATTGGCTCAACAAAGTTTATAAAGATGATAAGGTAGTTTGAGTGAAAATACCCACCTGATGGACATTTATCTATTGTCATAATGTCAAGTTGCTGGAAGTTACACCTTATTCCATAATTATCTAATACTTTACAAAATTTACTGTTTTCAAAGATCTAAATCTAGTAATACAAAATTGAATAATATGTATCTACTTGGTGGTCTGTCTCTGAAATACATAGTACTATTTAGAGTCAACTTGTCAATCTAAATATTGCTTCAATTATATTTTTAGTATTTCCCTATTTTCCTTAATGAATTTTCAAAAATATTTTCTAAAATGGAGCTATTTTGGGTGATATATACTTATTTCAAACTCAGATTCTGACTCTTATTGCAGTTGTGAATAAAAATTCCTTTCCTTGTAAATACATAATACATACCATTCCACAGCCATGTAAAACCCAGCTTCTAGATAAAAAATTGAAACTCTTCTGTTTAAATCCCTGAAGGAATAGTACTCAGTATAACACAGAAAATCCATTGTTATAAATGTAGATTATCTTCTGACTTATGCTCAGCACATTTTAAACTTTTAGCAATCATGGGTTGGTTTGATATGCCTTCTAGTTTATGCTTGTTTGTTACTAGTTTGGACAATTGAGGGAACAATGACATATTGAACCAACTCTGGATTAGAAGTCCTCACCCACAGTGTTTGGGTGTGAGATATAATCAGGGGTGAGTTGGAAAACCAACTGAGTGTATCAAGAAGCTAACACCAAATAAATTCAGGCTTCAGTGTTGGTTGCATCATTCTTCAGAAGAAATTGAACTGGTAAGTTTTCCTTTTTATCGCCTTTCTACTCTTTTGGGAAAGGTTTGATATTCCTCCAATTCAAGCAATTACATGCTAAAGTGGGCATAAATGATTGTTGTCCTTCGTCCACTATTTTGATATTCTAAACAGTGGAAACCTGGTAGACGAAAATTTTATACATTTTTAGGAGAACTAGTCTAACCTGATTTATAATTGATAAATAATAGGGGATACTTTGTCATTTCTCTCACAAGTTTGTTAACATTATTATATTAAATAGGCCGTTAAAATGTGGGATTTGTTATTGAAATTAATTCATTTTAATTTAAAAGTATAACATATGTTACTGGTGGTGAGGTACAAATCTGATTTTAGATTAGGTAACAGCAATGGTATATCTAATATATTATGTACAGTCATATTGTATGAGTTATGTGAATTAGGATTGTGGTTTTAAGAAAAACAATTTTTAAAATGAAGAGATTAAGGGCATTTAAGTTACAGAAGAAGTTAAGAGGTACAATTTATTTTCTGATAAGGGGACATGAGTCTTCTGATTTGAAGCTTTGACTGGAGGTAGAGATGTACTTAGTTAAATGTTTTACTTTGACAGACGTAATTTTGTTTCTGTTAAAAAAATCACTTCAATATATTAAATAAATATACAAGTAGCTTAATAACTTGACGTCTGTCAGCTGGTTAAGCAGATATTTATTGGGTCACATAGTCATTTCATTTAGATTTTATTTAGAGTTTATTTTTCAACAAATATTGCTGTATGAACAAAAGATTTTTTTCAGGAAAAGACATGAAATTATTTTAGTAAAATAGAATTGAAAGATTTGTGTGCCCTTTAGCACTTTAGCCATTGCCTTTTTTGTACTGACAATTAACAATTTCTCTTAATTATGGGCATATATGGTGACAGGTACTCTTCTTTATGGCATATGGGAGATAACTGAAGTATTACTCTTCTTTGTAGCATCACAGTCAGCTGATAATTTAGATCTCAGATCTGAAGGAAGTGGTGGATCCACTGCTAGGTGAGTTAGTTATTTATAGCAGCAATCATCATCATCATATACCAGCATCAGAAAATATTGTTTGTAGTAATTAATATACATAATTGTGGGACTTTGCTACGGCGCCCAGTTTGTTATCGGAATGTCAATTCTTTTTTTTTTTTTTTTTTTTTTTTTCGATTTTT